TGGTACAGGGGCCCTCACCACCTCCCCGTCCCCAGGGTTGGGGTGCAAACAGTCGAACCTGTCAAGTCACTGACCTCAAAAACAAGTCAACAGGAGGACAGTCCTTACACCCTAACACTGTACTTAGAGGCATCCACATTAGATGCCCTCTCTATGTGGGAGACTGAGAGAAATAATGTTACTCAATGCAGAAAACAAATAAGAAAAACAAAATAAAACTAGATTTCCAGTGGACTCACATACCCCTGGGGAAATTAACCAGAGGAGAGCAGATTAAAAAGGAGCTTATTGTACGATTCATCAGTTCCCTTGGCTCGGATGCCCTGCCTCGGTCCGGCTGAAAACACCTCTTCTGAGCCTGTCACTTCAGCTTTCCTGACTCGCCAAGCGCCGCTTCAGCAGTGCTCCTGGGACCAAAGCTGTGTCATCTCAGAAAAGGCTGACGGGCACCTGCCGTTGACACAGGCCTCCCCATGGTCTATGTCACTACACGACACAATGTGCTGCTCTCAAGAGTCCCCGCTGACGGAGACAGAGTAGGCAGTCGCCTTGTCCCTGTGCGGGGAATGAGATGTGCTGATGGACCACAACTCAGACATGTGACAGTAGGGGGCAACCCAGGGCACCTTCTTAGAGGATTAGAGGCACCCGTGCAGCCCACCTGCCGGCTCCTCCCCAGGACGTCTTTTTCTGACTGGGCCTTCACCCTGGAAAGATTCCCTCCCACCCCCTGTGCTGTACAGTCTCAAATTACAGGGGCCTGCGGGCAGCTCAGTGAGTCCTCTCTATAAACTGAATTTCCAGCCTTCAATCACCCTCCAAATAACTTAATCGAGGGCCATTTCTCCTTACAGATATTCAGCCCTCTAACCTCCAATCATTTACCTTCAGGCAAACCCATGAGTCATTTTTGAGAATCATACTCCTAGGTTGAGTACAAAATCTTTGGTTGGTATCTTAAAATTTTTCCAAGTAAAACTTCAATAGTAGCTCTTCATTAAAGGAGGGGATGGAATGTTAACACTTATTGGACATCTACTACAAGTCAGAGTCAATGCTGGAAATAGCATATAATTTAATTTAAACACATTTCACCTTTAACTGATTCTGTGGATTTTCTCTTCTTTCTTTCCTTTCCTTTCCTCTCTCTGACACTAACATAGCTCCCATGCCTTAAGTTCCAGAAAAAAGAAGTATAATAAGGGCAGAGGAGTTTCGGAGAGACAGGAAGAGAAGGTGAAGACTTTTATTAGACAATGATGGCGTATACTCCAGTCTGAACAAAGAAAAATACCCCTGCACTCCCCTCTGTCTTTACAAACACGCCCATCTCCTACACACAGAAAACGCACACATCTCCCAGGTACCTGCTGCACTCCACAGGCAAATTTGGGGCCTTACTTGTCCTGGGGAAACAACATTGGACTTGAAGTTTAAATCTCATCTTTGCCAGGTGCTAGCAGTGTGACTTAGGGTTTTTTTTCATTATTATAATGCCGGTTTCAGGTGGGTCCCAGACTTATCAAGGTGATCACTTCGCAAGTTATGTAACTGTCTAATCACTATGTTGTGTACCTGAACTTTATATAATGTTATCTGTCAATAGCAACTAAAATTTTAAAAATTGAAAATAACAAGTCATAAAAAAATACAACGCAGGTTATAACACCTAGCTCATAAAGTGTTCAGAAGATCAAGTCCTATAAAGTAGATGAAGAATTTTTAATCATTATAACTCCATTAAGGCAAAACAATTTTTCTTTCTGTGCTCTACGGTGGAAACCAAGTGCTTCATCCAAGGTCACAGGAAGTAATCAATTGCAGCAATTAACCCCATCTAACTGCAAACCTGCGGATGTCCACTGCACGCAGTCCATCTCCCCCTGTCCTTCCTGCTGGCTCTCACAAGTGGAAAGACTTTGCAGCGACGGCTCTTCCCCCCCGGATCTCAGAGCCTCCTCTCCTCCCAGCCACCTGAAGCTCACCAGGTAGCCGAGCGTGGCAGCTACCTGGTTTGATGGCAGTGAAAATGTCATCCAAGCACCTGTAAGCCTGGGAAGGGCAGTGACTGCATGCGGCACAGCCCTGGGCCAGCAACCTGAGGGGACAGACTGAGGTGCAGGGGGCTGAGAAGGTGCCAGGTAGGTCTATATTTTGAGACTTTACTCTTCCTAGCATTACTGACCCCAAATAATGGGGCTTCTATGTGTGCAGATTTTGTCTTCACCCTCAGAGTTCAAGTGCCATGAGGGCAGTCACGAAGGTCGGAGGTCGGCATGCTGCCCGGTGACAAGGGGTAAGCAGCACACAGAGGGCTGACTCCCAGCCAGCAGTTGCACGGGGGCCTTAAAGGGCCAGGGCCAGGAGACAATGACTTTCGGGAAGACAATCGGAAGCTGTCCGTGACTGTTTAAAATCCTTTCTGCCAGCAGAGACCCAGAGACTCTTCTGATCAAAAGCCTCCACCTGAAGGTAGATGGCAAGTGCAGGAGGCAAGCCACTGAGGAGGGGGCAGGACTCCCTGAGGCCGAGACCTGCATGTTTCAGTACCAGCAGAAGTCGGTTCCAGTTCAGCTAGTTCTGTCTATCAACATCCTGTTTAGTGTGTGTGTCTGCTGGACTTGCTGATGATCAAGTAGCTGTGAGAACCGATTTTGTTGTTGGATCACACAGGGCCTGGCTTCCCCATGACTTTGTATCTATCAGTTCCAGCATACATATGGCAATATTAACTACCCCATGGAAACTCACGATGAGCCTGACATTTTTTTCTGGTACTTTGAGTTCACTGTGGAAATTCAGGGTTCTATATCCTGAAGAAGTAAGAAACAGACCCATTATCCCAAGGAAAAGTTCCACCGGGAATACAAAAATGGGGACATTTTCCAAAACGTATGTTTCTCCTACACTCGTTTCTCAGCTCCACATCCATCTATCTAAACTCCTTTCTATTCAGTTTATGTTTGTTGAGCACCTGCTAAGCCCCAGGCATTGTGCTAGGCAGAAGGGATGCTGGGGCTGGGACTCTGCTAACACATTTCTCCTTCCCCACCAGGCTCCCTGCTACCATCAGTAGAGGGCGCTAGAGGGAGCCTGCAAGACCCAAGGACCAAGAAGGGACTTGGCTTTTTCTGTCCCTGTCAAGAGTGGCTCCAGGTAGCAGCAGAGTTTTGTTCCAGTGCCCAGCTTTACTCCAGGTACCCAGACCAGCCTCATCACACCTCCTGAGAGATGCCAGCGCCAACGTAACAGGGCTTTTTGCTGGGGGTCTGAGTTTCAGCTCCTCAGAGCCTCCTGAGCTTCCAGCTTGCAATAACCCCAACTGCTTCCTTTTGCTCTCCTAACCTACCACCTCCAGCCCTACATGCCCCACTTACCTATCCTGTCCTCCAGTACCTGTCATATCAATTTCTTTTATTAGCTCTTAAAATAACATATGTGGTTTCTATTTTGCAGTAAAGGACTGGGACCTAGTGACCATGACCATGGGGTGTGAGTGGAAAAAAACTTTTCATCATAAAAAGCAAATACATATATTCATTTGATACATACATATCATATGAACCAGAAGGAACTTTTTGCTTTCTGCAGTAGGGCTATAAACCTAGAGAGGCCAGGGAAGTGATGAAATGGAAAAGAAAGATTCCTAATTGTAAATAAGCCTGAACACAAAGACCCCAGGGTGTGGGCAAGGAAAAGCTGGAAAGAAATCCAATCTCCACATTTTGACACAACTGTTCCTTGGTTTCTGTTGTCTAGGCATCAGGCATCTGTGCAAGGATGGCCGATGTTCTCATTAGCAAGGAAGTTATTTCTGCAAGATTACTGTGTAAATAAATTCTTGAAAGCCACCTCTACGACACATTGATAAGCCCATAACTCCTCATCCTGAATTTTTTATTCATTCTGACATACAATGACCATCAAAAGACAGGCCCCAAAAAGCACAGTGAAAAATTATTACTAGAAGGTCTAGTTCACATCCTTGCTCTAGGGCCTCATTATAAATAACTTACTGTCACTGAAGGAATTGAGAGTTCTGTAGACATGAAAAGCCTGGAAAGGGTTTTAAATAAATGCCAACATTTAAACAATCAAGACAGTTTCAAAGTCCAGGGCTGTTGAAATGAGCCCTAGATACTGCCTGGATGATGTATTATGCGTTTATAGTTCAGTCGGGAACATAATTCAGTTCCACCTGAAGCGTCATTACATGGCCAAGCCCAAGAGAAGTGCTTTGGATGAGAGGTGAGAGTTTTCAGTTTTTCCATTGGAGACAAATTATTATTTCTCTACTTAGGACATCAGCTAGGCAATTCCCTTCATGATTTGTAGCACTCCTGAGCAATTAAACATTTTTTATAAGATGGAAGAAGTAGGGGACAAATGCCAAATCCAAAACAATCCATGGATGGCTGAAGAAGCCCCGGAGAGCACTACTGTCTCAGACAGGAGGCGAGTAATCCGTCTGCTCAAGGAAACACAAATGAGCAGTGAGTGTGCATCGCAGCGAGAATATTATTACCCAGCAGAGGCCACCTGCTACACACACATTTCATCGCCCAACAAGCCTCCTTAGAGGAAATGGAAGCAAAAACGTCCCTCCTGAAGAGATGGAGAAATGTCACCTGGCAAATGTCTTCACTGTGGCACAGGGCCACCTTCCCTTTTATTCCCCTTACCATCCATTTAGTTCAATCAGGGAGCAGAAGAACCCATTTGTTATATATTTTTAGATTTGGCAGATGCTGCCTGGAACTGGCCAGGGGAGAAGGTCCCCGGCCTCTCAGAACAGCCCCTGCACATCCTGGCTGGACAGCTTGTTTAGTTGGAGCACTGTCCCAATACACCAAGGCTGTAAATTCAATCTCTGGTCAGGGCACATACAAGAAGCAAACAATGAATGTATAAATAAGTGAAACAAAAAATTGATGTTTCTCTCTCAATTAAAAAAAAAAATTTTAGAAAAGAACAGCCCCTGCGTTCCCGGGCTTACGTACCATCCAGGCCATTGTGATGGCTGTAGTTTCTTTTCCCCAGAATGCTCAGTGATGTGTGATTCGGGGTGGTTAGCATCCGCTTGGTAGTTGGGGTTTGCAGACTTGGTGTAGATCGGATTACATTAGGTTTCTTCGAAGGATGGATCTCTGACAGGGGGGAGAAAGGTTTTTCAACTCAGAGTATGGTATTAAAAAATCCCTGTGTGAACGTCACTGGCTAATAGGTACCCGTCTTATCTCTTAATGAGCCAAGAGTTCCTTCTGAGCCAGCCTGTTTTCTCAAGGACTTGCATAATTAATCAGCTTCAAGTGCTGTTCCCATGACTGCTCTACTTATCAAAAGGGAGTGGGTTCTTCCCTGTTAGCTGGAGCTTCGTGTTATTAGTACAAAAAAAAAAAAGAATATAAGAAAAGAAAAAAAACCACTATAGGTCACTTAAATACAAGTTTTACTAAGGGAATAATAAGGCATCTGACTCTTCAAGGTATTATTAGCAATCCAGAAGTTGTCTAGAGAATAAGCCTCCGAGAAACTCCCTCTGTGTTCTACCAAACCAGCACTGAACAAGTGAACAGCTCTGGTGGAAAAGAGAAGTCCTCCTCTGGCTGTGCAAACAGGGCCTAGGACCCAGGGCCTTTACTCCCAGCCCAGAGCAATTTGATAGACATGAAATCTGACACCAAACTCCAAATACTACAGTCAAGGAGCAGTACAAGAAAAGCTTCAACCGAGGATGTTATCACCAAACTGTAATGTGTATGTGGTACATGTGTGTTTAAGCGAAGTATGTTGTTGTCAGGCACACAGCCCAGAACCGTTCACTTTCTGGACGGAGTAGATGGACAAAAACTGCAATACTACAGGAACTGGAATTTATACCTCCAGAGAGAAACCCGCTCATTGATTCTGAGTCACGCCCAGTGCGCCAAGTCTGCACAAGCCAGCCTTTCTCCCCAGGTGAGGGCCCAGATAGCAGCCTCACTGAAACTTAGAAAGAGCCTTCACTGAACATTGTTAGAATTATATCTTGTTCTGGTCAAAATCCTGCACTTGCCAAAATTTAGAAATGGACCAAATACTGACCAAAATATAGTACTGATTTCTTTTTCAACATGGTGTTGAAGGTCTGCTGACCTCATTTTAAATGACAACCTCCACACTCTATGCTCCATCCAGACCAAACCAGCCTGTGTTCCCTGAGCTTTTCAAGTTCTTAATTCATTAAAACCTTTATTTGGTTCTCTTGGCCTCATACGGGAAAAATATTATTTTCCTGTGTTCTATCAACTTCTCTATATCATTCAAGGCTGAGATCAGTTATTACTTCCTTCACGTAGGCTGCCCTAACACTCATCAGAAATAACTACTCCTTCCTCCAAGCGCCCAACGCCTATTACCTGTCATTCTTTTGTAGAACCCCTTTGTTCAACTGTCCTAACCTGTGTGCTCTCCCCACTAGACAAAGACTTTGGAGGGCAAGGTCTCACTCATCTTGGTGCCCCCTAACCCACTTCGAGAGTGTCTTGTACACAGTAAATACTCAGAAGCACATTCTGCAGGGCTATGGGTCAGCTAGCAGGACAGCACAACCGGGAGCGTATCTAGTGGGGACCGAGCACGCCCAGGGGAGGAACACCCAAGTGCCTTTGGGAAGGCTGACTGAGGTGCAATGCTATATTCTACTTTTTATGATCAGAAACTTTCCATTGCAGGTGGGAAGGGGCTTCTAGGATTAGGTCCTGCGAGGGCAGACAGACAGCGAACTTCAAGGACCTAACCACTATGACTTAGGTCATGTATATGATAACCATGTGATGTTTTCAGGGGCTCTCAAAGCAACTCTTTAGCCCCTGAGGAATAGAGCAGGAAATAAGGTGGCAGACTAACATCAAAGAGGGAGCCGTGAGCTTCTGACTCCTGGCATGCTCTGGTGAGGACCAGATAATAGGCCAAGCTCAAGGCTATGGTTTGATTCTTAAAAGACTGGATGTCTAAAGTTTGGATACTTCATAACTATAAATTCTGGCAGAGTAATATAGTTCAGTGCACCTCTTTGGCTACCTATCTCACTTTTGCTGACAAAGTGAAAAGGCAAGAATAAAAGGAGTGCAACAAAATGCCATTAGAGCTTCTAGGTATATCAGGAAGCTTTGCAAAAAAAAAAGAAGAGGTTCTTGCCAAGTCATTTTTTTTGGTATTATTGTTAATTGTGGTATTTCAACATGTAAACAAAACCATCATATTTGGCAACTTCCAGAAAGTTATGCAAATGCTCCTCTTTCAAAGTAGCCTTAATTGGCACATCAGAACTATGCATTCTTTATAGGCAGGTGAAAAATCAGTTTTATCTTACAAAAAAAAGTAGATAAACCAATCCTTTTCTATTTGAGAAATCCTGGAAGGACCTAAATCAGAACACTAAGACTGTTCATTCTCTAATAATGCAATGACTCTCATTTTAATTTAATCTGTATTTATATCCATAAATACACATTACATTTTTATTCAATGATTTTTTTTTGGTAAAAGTAAACATATCCATAATTGTGTATGTTGGGTGTGTTTGGGGAATAAAAATAAAAGTTTCTAAAACAAAATAAATTTGTTACACATACCAAGGTATCCCATCCCATGTCAGCTATTTGAAAGGCCTGAGTTTGGTTCAGAATAGCCAAGTATTTGTAAGCTACGGAAATCGTTGAGCTCCTCCAGCATTAGAAAACACCCACCTAGATACCCAATGATGCACGCCAAAGGCTTCCTAGTGCTTTTGCTCTTCAGCGGACTTCCCGAAGGGTCGGCGTGTCTGTCTGCATCTGGGAAGAGAAAGAAACACGGAGACAACCCATGAGGCTGATTTCTCTTCCTGTCCTGCACATGCTGCAGACACAAAAGGTGTGAGCGCAAGACACCCGCCAGATGCCTGTGCGATTTCGTGTCTGGTTCCAGATTACTGAGTGAGGCATTTACCTGGAGAACATGCTGCAAAGCCCCACACGAGCGCAGCCAATACGCACCTTACACACACTCTCCCTGTGCGGGCCCCTCTGTAAAGCAGTGGAAATACATCTCCTTTATAGCCGTGGCTTTTCTACCTTGAAGTAAAAAATTTCCTATGGAATACAAGGCTGAACCAATCCTAATGTAGTATCACTCTGGCATGGAAGACAAAAGTGACAGCTGACAAAGGGAACGCATTCGGCCACCCCTGAGAGAGCAAAGTGGTTTCCCACTGGGGAGTCCTCATCTAGCTTGGTGAAACCCAGTCTCACTAGATGACGGCCTTGCAAGAGCAAACATAGGTCATTTGGTTTTATCACCGGTTTTCCAGCTTTCACATCCTACCATGACGTCGTTAGTGCTGAGATTTAAAAGGTCGCCTGTATGCAGAGTGTTTCATCCAACAGAATCAGTCAGATGGGTATTAGGTGGTAAAAGCTCACATCACACTCCTCACACCCTACCGTAAGAGATTTCAGACAGGGAAAAATAAAGCACACAGCATAAACACTCTGCATTTTAATCAGCCGTCATTACAACAGAAGAGTAGATGTGGAACAAGACTGCCCGTCCTCCCGGAGTTGTAAGGAACACAGTCTGAAGGGACACAAAAAATGTATATTGAAGTTTTTTAAATTTGCAGATATCGTCACAAAGCTTAACTATGTCTATACCTTTTCCACCTTCAAATATTGGACAAGAATGTCCTACAGGCTTTCTGATAACTAGAGAATTTGTTCTTTCACAGGCTCAGACTACATTTCTAGGTATACATACAAGAAATTTCCTTTGACATCCATAGGAGTTCTCTGACCACTGAAACATGCAGTTCAAGCCCTGGCTGGTGTGGCTTGGCTGGCTGGAGCATGGTCCCAGGCTCTGAAAGGTTGCAGGTTCGATTCCCTCTCGAGGCACATACCCAGGTTGCAGATTTGGTCCCTGGTTGAGGTGTGCACAGGAGACAAAGGTTTCCGTCTCACGTAGATGTTTCTCTCTCTCCCTCCCTCTTTAAAATCAATGAATGTATCCTGGGGCTGGGGGGTAACACATTTTTTTAAAGATTTTATTCATTTATCTTTAGAGGGGACGGGAAGGAGAGAGGGAGAGAAACATCAATGTGTGGTTGCCTCTCATGTGTCCCCTGCTGGGAACTGCCCTGTAACCCAGGCATGTGCCCTGATTGGGAATCAAACTGCGATCCTCTGGTTCACAGGCCCGCACTCAATCCACTGAGCTGCACCAGCCAGGGCTAAAAAAGTTAATTTTTTATCTTTAAGTTATTTGAGATTCCAGGTTGAATTGTACATTTTGTTTTGTTTTTTAAATTTATTATCTAGCCCTGGCTGGTGTAGCTCAGTGGATTGAGTGAGGGCCTGTGAACCAGAGGATCTCGGTTCAATTCCCAGTCAGGGCACATGCCTGGGTTGTGGGCCAGTTCCCAGCAGGGGATGCACGAGAGGCAACCATACATTGATATTTCTCTCCCTCTCTCCTTCCCTTCCCCTCTAGGGATAAATAAATAAAATCTTTTAAAAAATTAACTTTTTCATAAGCTCTAGTTCTTTCCCCTAGGAAATTCTTTTATAATAACCATTAAACAGAAAAAGGTGACAAAATAACACTTTTAAAAATATTAAAATAAAGTACAAATGACAGATATCTTCAAATAATAGGAATCTGATTATGTATCCCAAACATTGGCTATTATTCGACCACTGACAACTATAATGATCCCCATCCTTTTCCTCCTATTCAGCTGATTTCCTTTAGGGGAAAAATTTACAAAGTTATGAAGCTTTTTGCCTGTTTTTGAGTGATAGTGAAGATACAGGCGGAAATACAATAAGCATGTTTTGGATGAGTAATCTGAATGGATATTAAAAAGCAGCCCAAATCCTGCAAGGACCAAACACCTGTCAAATTACTGAGTTAATACAAAATAATAATTCCTTCTCAATATTATTCACTCATTTAAAATTCAAGTTCTACTTGGGGTGAGGACAAGAGAAATTTCTCTCCTTCCTATTAATAAAATAAAGCTTGAATGAACCATTTTGGTTATTTCCTCAATGTTCTGGATGGAACAATTGCTTCATGACTGGTAATCAGTTTAACTTTGCTCTTCACTCCAGTCAGTAAGCCTCAGAGGAAAACGGCCGACGTGGCTGCAGTTGATGGATTCCCATACACCATGACCTTGACAAGATCAACAAAGCATCAAAGTGGTCACCAACACAACACCCAAAGATATTTCATTTTAAACATGTTTTTAATTTCTCATTGAATTAGTTGGGAGTAATTATGTGATGTTTCAAGTAACAATTTACAGAGCACCTGAGCAGGGGAGCAAAGCTCTTTAGAAGAATCCATATTTCACTAATCCTCATTATATATATATATTTTAAAAATTTTATGTTCACCTGAGGACATTTATTTTTTCATTGCTTCTAAAGAGAGGAAGGGAGAGATAGAGAAACTTCAATGCAAGAGATGTTGGCTGCCCCACATACGCACCCAGATGGGAGATCTAAGTGCCTGGAGTGGGAATCAAACTTCAACCTTGAGTGACTGGGTGGTGCTCCAAACAACCGAGGCACACCAGCCCGGGCAAACCTCAGTCTATTTTAAAGAGAGCAAGTGCTGACGCAAATGACCAATCTCAACTACAAAGAAATTGGGAGGGACACTGCTGAGACTACCTAGTCACTGTTTATCATAAAAATTGCAGCCAGCAACATACAAATGTTGCAGCCAGCAACATACAAAAAAACACACATCCCACCCTGAGGGAATAATCACAAACAGGGTTATCGGGTCTGCACTTGGTTGGTTAAGGAGAACCTTCGTCAGCTCTCAAGACCAGGCCAGTGGTACCACTTGTCAGTCCTCACTCCCAAACTATTCACTTAACTATTTCAAAAGAGATCCTTCGCTGGGGAGCATGGAAAGGGCACAGATAAAGAAAGCAACCTGAGAAACGCCCAAAGAACGCAGAGGGAACTGAAATCTGCCCAGAGGAAGGGAGAACCCGTACATCTCCCTCGCATTACTGGACTGAACACAAGGCCCAGATCACTGGCCTCCGAGAGCATGATCTACATCTCGAAGTAACCTGGAAAAACACCGTTACTTTCATCACAACTCACGGCCATTTTTTTTAAACAGCTTTGGAAATACTAAAGGGATAAGTAAAAAACTGCAAAAAGTAAACATTGAATTCAACTTCATAAAAACATCTCACATGGGCTTTCAAAATAAAACGACCTACAGAACTTTCTTTTAGGCAATGCAGAGGCTTTTCTAAACAAGACACAAAGCCCAGGAGCCATTAAAAAAATAAATTCAACTATGTTTTAAAAAATTGGGCAAATTCATCATAGAAAAAATCGAAGACAAAATGGGGAAATATTTTTGCATCCCATGTCACAGATGAGAAGCTCGTTTCCTATATCAAAAGTTCCCACAAGTCATTAAGACTTTTATCTGCGAGAAAACAGGAGAGGGGCAGAAACAGTTGCCAGCAAGGAAGGCACATGGCTTTCAAACACATGCAGGTCTCCACTTCACTCAAGAAGAGAAATGCAAGGTAATGTAACTCACTAGTCACCTGTCGGAAAACACTGCCGGCAAGCTCCGAGAGAAACAGGCTTCTCTGCACCTGGTGGGGAGGGGATGGGGGGAGGGGGTGCTGTGAATTGTCCGAGGGCAGCTAGCAAAATTCAAAATGCGTGTTCCTTTGACCCAAATGGTTTGCTCTGAGGAATCTATCCTATGAGATACATCCACATTTCACACATCAGGATACCCACATAGGGATATTGTTGCAATATCATTTAGAAAAACAACTGGAAATAACCTAAAAGTTCTTAGATTAACTTTCAAAAATTAACTTAAATTAACCTAATTTATTTTTCAAAAAACTAATCCAGACTACCTCTGGGTACATTAGACACTGGTGACAGTGGTCCCCTCTGAAGATGGGAATGGCGATAAGGCTTGTAACCACTTTTGCATCTTTAGAAGCAGTTGACGTGGCTCTCCGAAAGAAAATTGTATTACTAAAAATGCCAAAATAATGAAAGACTGTTCTTTCCTTACATTAGTTCTTCAAATTACACAAAGTTCATACAATTATTATTAACTTTTGCTGAGACATCTCTAGAAAAACTCAGTGAATACACTAACAAATTTCTTATGAATATGGGGTCTTGGGATGCTTCCGAGTTGAATTAGCATCTTCGAACAGAAAATTTAAAAAATGGCTCCAGGTGCCTCTTGAAGAACTTCATACTGGGGAAGGCTGCTGTCATTCAAGCCTGCTTCGGGGTCTACTCAGAAACCATGAGCTGACCCGTGCAAATGGTCCACTTCAGGGCCTGGCTTCATCTACAGAATGCTGCTAATGCACCTGCTTCTTCCTCCATTTCTGAGCATCCTGAATTGCAAATAGTAACCCTGAGCTCATTGGGTATTGGGTAATCTACTGATCTGTGGTGAAACTGTCTGGTAACTTGGTGGAAATGTCTGATGGCAGCAACAACAAGAACCCCAAAGGGATGGGTTGCCTGCAACTTGATGCTGCTGCAACCATGTGGTCAGTCCATGAATCTTGTCCAGGACACGGTACTCTGTGCAAAGCTTGGTTCTGTGTCTACCAACGCATTTTAAACAAGCACTATCTGTATGGTAGAACTGGCTCAGGTATTCTACCAATGTTAGTAATTTTTGGCATGACTTACATATTCATGCACAAAGGTGTATTATTGAAATAAATAGTTACTTGGAGAAAGTGGTTTTAAAAAATCATTTTCTATATATCTCATACATTTTAAAACATGTTGGTCATACTATATATTCATTTGTTTTTAAACTATTTAAAACAGGAAGTATATATTCCCATGGCTCAAAATTGAAAAAGTCTGAGGATGGACAGTGAGCGTTAAGGCTCCTTTCCAACACCCTCCCCTCGGCCTCCCAGTTTCCCTTCCCACGGATTCTACTTCCTATGTTACCTTGGGATACTTTACATATATGCAAGCAGACTCCCCTTTTTACTATGTTGTACTCCTTTATACCAGTTTCTTAATGAAACTAAAGATATTAAGTTGCTATAACCAACCAAAAATTTCCTCTAAACAAGGATGAACTTTAAAGTCAAGAACTCATAGTTATGAGTGTGCTCTCCCTGCACCTGACGGTTTATCTCCTTAGCCCCCCCACCTCTTCACTCTCATATAGTCTGTCACACCCTAAATTTTGGCTATACTAGTTCTGATGGTGCTGCTGCAGGGTAAACTTTTACAGTGCTTGTAAGAGGAAGAGACGCTAATTCACAGGGAAAACTGTTTTCCTTTCCCAATATTACAATGAATTACTCTAAAATGAATTAATTGCATCTCTTAGTGTATCAGTACCTTCAGATCCAACCCTTTACCTCATCTAAAAAGTACACTCCCACTGCACCATGGTGATGCTTAAATTTGGGGGGAGGGACAAGGTCACCACTGCCTTTGGGAAACCAAAAAAGATTACCTAGAAAAATATATACATTCTCCATGGACCAGAGACAAGGCTGCTACAGAACCAGGTCATTAACACCTAATCTTCTCTCACTAACAAGCCAAGATCAAGGGACGTGCTGAGGAGGTAGTAGTAAGACACATGTAAGAAGGGAGAAGACGATGTAAGAATCAATTCAATGCTATGAAGGGTTCACTATTTGCTTGTCTGAAAAAAAAAAAAACTGAGTAGATGCCTGCTGGAGCTTTATAATTTTAAATCTCGAGGTAAAATTAATTATTCTGAGAATCCAATTCTGTATGTAACTCAACCAATGAGACTAAATACACAATAAAATGTTCCTTGAGTCTCATCACAATAAATGACTGTTCTTTTATTATTACTGTATCTATGTTTGTGGAAATAGAATACAGGTAATTTAATCGTGTCTTTTTTTTTTTTTTAAGTAGCATGGCCTTTCAATTGAGGGGAAAGAATTAAAATGAGGTTACAGAAAGTTACACTTCACTGAATAATCAAAGTAAAGACAATTTACAAATTCACTGACAAATGAACAGAAGAGCCCCAGGAAGCAACGGCTTCCTCAGTAGCCAATTTAGTTGGTGATGGTTTCTTTTCCATTCATAGGAACAAAGATGATACTGGATTCCAGCTTATTTTAATGGAAGAATTTCACTAATTTTCTTTCTCAAATGTTTTATTGTTCTCTTTATTTAAGAAATTGTATCTAAAAGTATGTATTTTATTATTATCTTTTAAAGATTTTTATTTATTTTTTTTAGAGAGAGGGGTAGGGAGGGAGAAAGAGAGGGAGAGAAACATCAATGTGTGCTTGCCTCTCGCACACCCCCAACTGAGGGTGCGACTCAGGTATGTGCCCCAACTGGGAATCGAACCAGTGACCTTTCAGATTGCAGGCTGGCACTCAATCCACTGAGCTACACCAGTGAGGGCTAAAAGTATGTGTTTTAAATCAGTTAAGCAGTTTAGATGAGTATAAATATTCCAGTTCCTTAAAAGAGATTTTAAAAGGTAAAAATAGAATAAATCTATAAACTCAGAAATGCTGGCGTCAAGCCTCAATATAAGCCTAAATTCTCAAATATATATAGACCTAATGTAGCTGAATTTTCCTTCTATGGGACTCAGAAGTTACTAACAATTTCTACTCCCTTCACAAAGCACTTTTGTTCTTCTTCTTATAAATCCTTTAAGATTTAAAGCCATTCAACTGTTCTGCTGAAAACTACCTTTAGGAACAAAATGTATTTCAACCATTACTCCTTTTACCGATATCCTCTTTAAATCGAAAATGGAACATCTTTAATAAGATCTTTCTTATCTCACAGATAAAGAAAAAGCTTCTAACTGACTATCTTTAGGATTTCTAAGTCTTAGCCAGGCGGCAAGTTTTCTCATCCTTTACAGGAAAAACGTTGCATGGCTCGAACACGCCAGCCAGGCCTGCGACTGGAAGTGGCGTGACTGGAGTCAGAGCTAACGCGCAACCTCGGGCCACGTGGCAATGACAGAACAGTCCACAATTCATTGATACATATGACCTTAAAGAAAGAAAGAAAGAGGAGGGGGGGGGAGAGAGAGAGAGAGAGGTAAGCAAGACTGAATGCACTGCAAATGAGGACTACAGCCATGTAAATGTTACGTAATACGGATGATGCACGATTATGAAATGGAGACCGAACTGCACAGACAGGAAGGGTGCTCAGCCACAGACCTGGACGCTGCCTGTAGAAACTAAATGTGTGTTTTGCAGAAAACTCACCCAGAAGACTTTAAAATTCACTTATAATTTGCTAATTACTCTTCTAACCTAGCGTTTGTTATAAAGCACTGTGAATTTCCAAAATACTGTATAACTGTAGAAGGTTCAAGGGAAAACATGGTTTATACAGAGATGTACGATTTTCAATTAGTGGAAAGTGGCAAATTTTATTCACACCTAATGAGTTCATGTAGGACTGGACCGCTGTCCCGGAGTTTCCTGCACCACCGCCTGCGGGCAGTAGGTAGAGGCTCCACTTTCTAGGTCAAAGTGCCTCAATCAGAGCTACGGTGGCAATTCCGTCATAAAGCCACGCTGGGCAGGGCCCCTCCCACCGTCGTTGGCTGAACACTACTCTCTCACAAAGGCTGTGAGGTTTTAATGTTTTCTTTTCAGGTTGGCATGATACAAATGGCAGCAGACAAAAACAATGTTAAAAAAATAAACCAAATAAAAGGCTGTACACAAGAACTTAAGTTTATTGCAAACAAAAACAAAAATAAAACAAAACAAAAGAGAGAGAGGGAAAGAGAGAAAATGGTCAGAAGCACAACACAGAAGGTTAAGAATTTAAAAGCATCTTACATTCTGCCCTAATGGCAGCATAGTTAATAGGAACAAACGGCCGTCTCGCTGCCTGCCGCAGCCGGAGGGAATTTTTGCAGACCTGACGAGCAAATTTTGTGAAACACGTAGTGTGAAGGAAGAAAGCCTGGCGGGTCTTCACAGCAGACTTTGGGCTTCCAGTGTTCCGGACCGGCATCCCCTGCATGGCCTGGCGTGACACGTGGCTTCGAACACGAGGGTCCTGCAGGGTCAGACACCAACAAATGTGTGAAGACCAGGGCTGGTCAAGCGCAGTGTTATCTGCATTATGCTCAAGGGAAAGGGTAGTTTTTAAATCTTCCACTGAAGCATCTATAACTTAATACACTGCCCTGAAGAATTAAAAAGTGTCTTGGAAAGAAGGTAGGGATGTAGAGAAGGAAACTGGTTTGGAGTTTGGGGCTGGGCATCTGTGTGATCCTACACTTTTGTTTCTAAAATTGACCCTAACATCCAAAACTACATTCATAATAGTAAAGAACTACCGATGGGTTAATTAGAGAGAGAGAGAGAGAGAGAGAGAGAGAGAGCGCTTTAAATATTGAAGGACTCCTGAGATCCTGTTAGTGCTCAAATAGAATGGTCTCCCTCTGGTCGACCTGGGTGCTTGGTATCTGCTATGAGAATGATACCAAATCATATTTTAACTGTTGTTCACCTCAAGATTAAGTCCATACCTCCTTGTGCCTCCTATGAGAGCTCAGGAAGAGAATAAATGTTCAATTTGTTACTTTATGTCATAAGACAGATTTTCAGTAACACTCTCCTTACACTAAGGCCTCCCGCATTGTTCTTTTGTCTCGGTAATCCCACAGACAAATATTTTGAATACCTGAAAAGATGTGGTTTGTTCCTGCCCCTCTCTCCACACCCACCCTGCATATTGTGGTGCTTTGTTTGCCTATAAAAATAGCTTTGTTTCCTTTTAAATTATCTAACACTGTAATTTTGTTTTCAAGGACTGATCCAGGCACTGAAAAACATGACACTCCTCAAGGCCAAAAGGACTGTCGCTCATGTACCTCTGTAGGTGGGCTGGGGGACAGCTTCTCCTCTTCTGACTGGGTGGGCATTTTCAGGCCTCCGTATTTTTTCCAGTAGAGCCAACAGGTTGCACACAGTCTACACTGCATATTAGGCGGGCCCCAGGAATACCACTGATGAGACTGTGTAGCTAAAGATGGTGGAAAGGGAAGAAAACACAAAGGATGCTATAGAATTTGTAACATCAATATATATGGTCAAGTAGTTCCAAAAATATTCCCAATCTTCTTTCAGTTTTCAATTTTATTTTTCCCCCACTTACAAGCCACATATGAAAGGCTAATAATACATATCTATAGCTTTCAAGACTCAGAATTCATTAAAAACCCTTATGTACATAAACATCTCAAACTAAGTGCCTGTGGCATCTATTTAAGACAGGTGATTAGGTGAAGTATCCTATATTATATGTTGTGCTGCTGAGGGAGTTTTTAATTAAAAACATTTTCTATTGTGTACAATTCTAGAAATAACTACCAGAAAGGTAGTGTTTAAAGTCTAAATCCAGGTTTCCAAACCTGTGGTTCAGAAGCAACTTGGAGTGTACAGTGTTCAGAGGGGCCTCACGGACAGAGGCAGGAATGTGACAGAAAAGGCATCTGTTTTTTATTCCTTTAATCAATAGACAAAGTAATTATTTTAAATTTCTTCCTTTAAAAAACAGATCCTTCCAAGACTAAGTCTGTATCAAGTGAGCGTATGTAGCTGAAATTCACAGCACGCTTCAGACCTGGTCACGTGGTGGATTTTATCACACAGCTGAACACTGTGAACCCGTGTTCGTGCTGTTCTGCAGTTTAAATCACTGCCATGACATGTAAAGTTCCCCATCTGATGTCAGAAAACAATGACACCAAAACATTTAAGTAATGAGGGGCACAAAAACTATTATTACAATTCTGTAAATGTGCCTTGGAACCTTCTTCCTCTGATCTGTAAGATGCAGCAGATCCAATGTTCAAACAGAAGAGCAAGGTGTCAGCTACCACTTCACAAACCAATGGGGAAAAATGCAGTGATCATTGCCATGGAACTGTCTTTTAGTTTATCGAGAGTAATGCTGTACACTCATCCTGTATTATTTTTTGGAGGACTCCTTGTTAAGTAGCAGCCTAAAAACCTTTCCTCTTATAATTTAAACAGTAAGTTGATTGTTAAAAAACACAAAGTACAAGAACTCTGCATATTAGGCATGGACTTATTTTGGATTCTGAAAACAACATTTTATTCATACTTAAATATACATTGCTACCCAAACTAAGACACATCATTTAGTGTTTATCGGCAAATGTCTTTTTCCATATATAATTAACTATAATTTAACGATCCAAATATAATTCAACGATCAGTTAAAAAGCAACAAACAGAAAATACCAAATTCTTTCTATAATGATAAATTTTACATGTATTACATTAAGATATATTTTATGGTATAAATTATTTTAAAATATTAATATAAAATATTATAAAATTAAAATAGTTTGTCATGCAAACATAAAAATAACAGAATAATTATTAAAATGGACATGTAAGATTACATATGTGTAAAGGAATTTGTAAATAAAAATATGACAGATTAAGTCATATCATTTGTCTGCAGGACTTTTATCTTTATTTAAATATAAATGTACTTTGAAATCTAAGAATTCCCAATTCAAAGACATTTGTGATGCAATCCATGTAAAATTCTGACCAAAAAGAAGCTAGTTTTGCACAAACTGCTTCCCCCTGTACTCCCAGGGCACAGAAAATGGTTAGACGTGCACCACTGCTATGACGTCATCAATCTGTCTGGCTCCCACCTGCCTTGGTTTCAGGGAAGAAATTACATGTTTGGCTTTAAAAGCCGTTGCTAACGCTGAAACCTGGTCTGGAGCATGGAGCAGAGTCACCAACACCCTCATTCCTCTGTCCTCAGGGCAGCAGGCTCTGTACCCCCGCAAAGAGCTGCTGGGAGACAAAAACTAGGCACTCAGTAGACATTTAATAGCCATTAGTTTTCCTCCCTCTCCCACTCCAGGATACTTTGGTTGGAAGAAACATAGATAATAATGTCACCAATACCTCATTAAGAGATTACGTTGTTGTAATATTAAATAAACATAAAAAGTACATCAACTCTGTACCAATTAATTTCACTAACCCAATATATATAATACTGCCAGCCTCTGGTAGGTTTTGGACAGAGATTAATGAATTGGGACCCTAAGCCATGGCCAGTGGGGCTCAGTTGGAGTGCCCCCCATAAACCAAACGGTCTCAGGTTCAAATCCTGGTCAGGGCACATGCCTAGGTTGCAGGTTCGGTCCCCAGTCAGAATGCATGTGAGAGGCAACCAATCCAATGTCTGTCCCCCTCCCTTCCTGTCTCTCTGAAAAATAAAGGAAAAAATTTATTAAAAAAATCAGGACCCTGAGGCCAGAAGCAAATACCACAGAATAGCATCATCTCCCAAACCTCTGCTCTGAGGGAATCTGGTCTGAGGACCACACACGGATCTTTCCTACAGAATTATTTGCAGCCTTTAATTTGTCAAAGCATGCTGAGAAACTCCAAAAGTGGATTTGGTCCATTTCACGGGACCATGGTTCGCACACGGCCAATGAACAACTCGAATACAGCTTAACTAACAGTGCAGTCTGTGGATACTCACAAACACAGGACTCCAGAGAAGCAAATCAAAGGAAACCCAATGCTTAAACACTCAGTGTCCAGGCGGAAGGGAGGGTTGGGCATCTAGTCGCTCCAAGGTTACTACGTTATCCCACCCTCTACGCAGTGTTGGCCTCACATACCTCCCACCAGCGCCAGCACAGTGGCCTGCGTGTCACTGAAGACAGGCCTCACGTGGGAAAACAAAGCCTCGCTGGAGGGAACTCACCGTAGCAGCTCTCACAGGCGCGCCCTAACAGGGGGTTCTGCGGCTGGAACGTGGTCCCCACGGCTCCATTCACAGCACCAGGTTTGCCATTGCTGGTAGATATTTGGTTGGGATTTGGTTTGCTGCTTTCAAAGAAATGTAAAGTAAGGTCATAAAAATGATTTGTACAAAAAACAAGGCAAAAGGCTCTACATTTCATTACTGATTTATATGAACTATACATACACACATCTGAATGTTTGCTAAAGAAGAAATACACTGGAAAAGTGAACCCAGACCAGCTGGTGTGGCTTAGTGAGCTGGACGCCAGCCAGCAGACCGACAGGTCGCCAGTTCCATGCTGGTCGGGGCACATGCCTGGGTTGTGGGTTCGGTGCCCAGCTGGGTGCATACGAAGGCAGCCAATCAATGTTTCTCTCCTTCTCTTTCTCCCTCCCTTGCTCTCTCTCTAAAATCAAAAATTAAAAAAAAAAAAAAAAAAAAAAAAAAAAAAGAAGTCAAACCATTCATCTTCACAAAACAAGGCTATGGACTTCCAGCCAAGGTGGAGGCGTAGGTGGAAACACTGTGCCTCCTCGTTCAACCAAGTTTAAAGACAACAAAGTTTTAGTAACAAAAATGCAACCAAAACAGAGAAAATTGAACTATACGGAAGTCCAACAATAACAAACCATTCAGCCAGACTGATAAACCAGGTGAAGGAGCGAGCAGTGAGACAGACCGCACAGGCCCCAGCGGCGGGAAGCAGCAGAGGGAACTGCCATTGCCCCGCTCTGACCCAGCCTTGCCCCCACATACAGCATCACAACCCAGCAACCTGGGTGGCCCCACCATGGTGAACACCTAAGGCTCCTCATACATAACGGGCACAAACAGACCAAAACATGGCTCAAGACGAACTCAAAGCCCCAGAGCCAATAACTCCAAGCAACCAAGAAATAGCCAACCTATCAGATGCACAGTTCAAAACATTGGTGATCAGGATGCTCACAGAACTGGTGGATTTTAGTCACAAATTAGAGGAACATATGAAGGCGAAACTAATTGAAATGAAGGGAAATGCACACAGAACCAATAGTGATGGAAAGGAAACTGGGACTCAAATCAAAGGATTGGACCAAAAGGAAGAAAAAAATGACCAAACAGAAAACAATGAAGAAACAAGAATTCAAAAAAATGAAGAGAGGCTTAGGAACCTCCAGGACACCTTTAAATGCTCCAACATCCGAATTATAAGGGTACCAGAAGGGGAAAAGGAACAGCCACCAGTGGAAAACTTATTTGAACAAATAATAAAGGAGAACTTCCCCAATCTGGCAAAGGAAATAGACTTCCAGGAAATCCAGGAAGCTCAGAGTCCCAAAGAAGTTGGACCCAAGAAGGAACACACCAAGGCACATCATCATTACATTACCCAAGATTAAAATGAAGAAGAGAATCCTAGAAGCAGCAACAGATAAAGAGACAGTAACCTACAAAGGAGTTCCCATCAGACTATCAGCTGATTTCTCAAGAGACCTTGCAGGCAGGCAAGAAGGGGCTGGAAAGAAGTATTCCAAGTCATGAAATCCAAAGACCTACACCCAAGATTGCTCTATCCAGCAAAGCTTTCATTTAGAATGGAAGGGCAGATAAAGTGCTTCTCAGATAAGGTCAAGTTCAAGGAGTTCATCATCACCAAGCCCTTATTATATGAAATGTTAAAGGGACTTATCTGAGAAAAAGAAGATAAAAAAGATGAACAGTGAAAGGACAGCAAACTCACAGTTATTAGCAACCACACCTAAAACAAAAGCAAACTAAGAGGACAGCTAAATCAGGAGCAGAACCATAGAAATGGTGATCACATGGAAGATTAGCAACAGCGGGGTGGGAGGAAGAGAGAGGGGGAGAAGGTACACAGAATAAGTAGCATAGACTGTAGGTAGAAAATAGATGGGGGGAGGGCAAGAATAGTATGGGAAATATAGAATCTAAAGAACTTGAGACACGTGGACATAAATTAAAGGGGGGGAATGGTGGAAGAGGGGTGTGCAGGGTAGAGGGGAATGAAGGGGAGAAATAGGACAACTGTAATGGCATAATCAATAAAATATATTAAAAAAAAAACAAGGCTATGTACAAACCTATGCCTAACACAAAATTTATACAGCCACATCTCTTATCTAGCCAAATACAATTTCTTTAGAACACCCTCTGATGCTTTTGAAGATATATGTTATTAAGCTTTATCAGATATCATAAATTCTCCTGAGAAAGTAAAATATTTTTATAGATCACATACATTAAGCCAAAGGGGATGTGCCATATTCAGAAAAAACCACTGTGCTGTGCTGCTCCTGCCACCTCCCGGGGGACTGCACAAAAGCAGCGCACCCCACCCCGTGTTGGGTGTCAACGGGGCGCCTCCAGAGGTGAGCCAGCATTTCAGGAGTTGCTGACGGCTCGTGACAATAATTTCTGTTATGTCTGAGCTTCTTTGAGGAAGATTACACAGCATTCAAAATTAGAAAAACCAATAAATGTATTTTGAGGATTTATCTTCAAGAAAAAAATTTTAGGAGGATAAAGGAGACATCTATCAGAAGTATATATGCAAAATTCCCACAGGCCATACTCCCCAGAAACACGGAGCCCAGATTACCTGCAGGCTTGCTGTGCAAACATGGCTAACTTGTGCCCACCTGGGGTGTGCTAACTCCCCTGCTCACAAGCCACGCCCGATAATATGGGTTGGCCCATACTTTATCTGACATATAAATACACAATTTAAGCTTGGTCCAAGGCACTTTTTTCTTATTGCTCCTCCTAAGAAATCTCATTCATGGTTTTAAACATAGTATTGTGTGCTGATGAAGCTCAAATTTGTATCTCTAGCCCAGAACTTTCCCCTGAGTTTAAGACCAATACATCCGACCATCTATTCAACACCTTGTTGTGGACACGACAACTCAAAATGACCGATCTGGTTCTCTGCCACAGTTTCTTAGTTTGGTGGACAGCACAGCAAACCACAGAGCTGTGCTAGCAGGAACCTGGCACTCAGCCCTGACACGGGCCCTCCACTCCTAGAACACTAGTCAATCACCTCCAGGCAGAGCCCCAGTTCCAGGGCCCCATCTCTAGGTCAACCTACTACCATCTTTCCTCCCCCCAAACTTCACAACTGGTCTCCTACATCCACTCTTACTCCCTTCCCCAAACCATTCTCCAAAATATAGCCAGTGATCTTAAAGTATAAATTGGATCATAATACTTCCTTGTTTAAAATCCATTTCCTCATCAGATGGACAAACTCCTGGCTCTTGCCTAGCATACCAGCCACAGAAGAGCTATTCTCCCTCTTAGTACTGGTCACACTGGGCGACAAGCTGTTTGGCATCTTCCTCCCCATATGAGAATGCAGCCCGTCTTCTTAAGCTTTCTACCTCTAGCACTGAGCTGAGCGCTCTGCACAGAGGAAACTGCCAGGCTCAGAAGACTGATGGTATGAAACCATTCTCAATATATTATTTGTTTTTAAATATTCTATTTCAGAGTTAACTGGGAAGTTCTTCAAAGGACTCAAATTCTTAATCCAACTCAACAATGCAGCTTCATATATTCTACTGATGTACATGGTTTATATAACTTCTTCAAGAAGTACGATTAAAAACTGTTTTGAGCTCTAGAAATCACTCGCTTGGATCAGGGGTTGGTATAGTAAAATATTTTAAGCTTTGTTGTTATCGTAATTCTATTGTAACCACTGAACTCTGCAATTGTAGCACTAAAGCAGACACAGACAACACATAAATGAACAAGTGACTGTGTCCCAATAACACTTTCTTTATTAAAAACAGCCCTGGCTGGTGTGGCTCAGTGGATTAAGTGCTGGCCTGCAAACCAAAGGGTCAAAGATTTGATTCCCAGTCTGGGGCATATGCTTGGGTTGTGGGCCAGGTCCCCAGTGTGGGGTGTGCAAGAAGCAACCACACACTGATGTTTCTCTCCTTCTCTTTCTCTCTCTCTCCCCCTCTCTAAAACACAAACAAATACAATCTTCCAACCCTGGCCCCCAAACAAAAAACAAACAAACAAAAAACATAGCAGGTGCCCTGGCCAGTGCGGCTCAGTTGGTTGGAGCATTGTCCCATATACTGAAAGGTCACGGCTTCCATTCCTTCCACATGACTAGGACACTAAAAAACCTAGACTGCAGGTTCAATCCCTGGTTGGGGAGCCTGTGAGGGGCAACCTATCAATGTTTCTCCCACCCCCTCTTTCTAAAAGCAATGAAAAAAAATGTCCTCCAGTGAGGATTTGAAGGAGGAGGAAGAAGAAGGTAGCAACTACGTCAGATTTGGCCCACAGACTATAGTTTGCTGGTCTCTGACTTAGATCAAGGCTCTAAAGTCAATGCAAAACAGAACAGAAACAATTATCTGGGTTACTTGGTGCAGCCTGGTTGCATATACTTGTCCTTTGATGTGAAAGCACTGTAAAGTACAAGAAAGCTGGTACGCTTGCTTTTGAAAATCTAAGACACAAATCACAACAGTATTTTCTTTAGGGAGCTATTCTTTTATAAGTTAGTCAAATAAATTAGAAACCATTATGCAGAAGGGACATTACAGCTCTGAATAAAAATTATGGACCCTGTAAATTACATGTTATCTGCTTTGAGATAAAAGACTAGTAAGAACTGTGCAATTCATTTTCTATGAGGCCTCCTATATATAAAAATGTCTTAATATATCAAAATTCAGTAAATAAAAGGTTTAGTACAAAACAACTGCACTTAGCTCCTAAGCGTAAGAAAGATCTCGCAGCAGTGCACAGAACTTGTGGCAAATCCCATTTTAAACCCGCCCCTAACCTAGGATAGCACTACACACACGGTGCGCGCAATAAACTAGGTTTCTCTGAACAAACATGTGACCAAACTTTAAAGATCTCAAGAACAAGAGTGTAAGTCATTTAAAACATAGCACATGGAAAGAAAATTGGCGTTCATTTTGATACAACGATGATTTCTAAGTCCAAAGGAAAATGATAGAATGCTAGAGCAAGACAATCAAAAGATATGCACTATTTAGCAAGTATTTACAAAGTATGAGTCTACTTACTTTCCCTAACCATTCTTCTAAGCAAATAATGTAAAATGTCTACACCCCAAAAGGGCAGTGCGCATTACCCAAACAAGGTTAGTTCTACTACGGACAAGTTTCCTAAGTTGGCAGCTTTCTGAAACACATTTGCTTCCGACAGTGGAGTGTCACAGGCCAGCTTCCTGACACTTCCCCTGGTCCTTCTGCTGTCTGCTCGGTGTTGCCCCCACCAGCCGCCTTTCTCTCTAAAAATACCAGTGTAATGGTAAGGGGAAGCAAACCTCATGCTTTGTGGTGGAAGAAAATGAGACACACAAAAAAAATTCAAATTTGGTTGATACTTCTCAAAATGACACATTTTGTTTTGATAGAATTAATACCATGACAAGTATTTAAAAAGATTTCTGTTACTTACTAAGTTGGGATATACACTTGTTTCAGTTTACTCTCAGCTTCTGCAGCTTTTAGACGTTTCTAATTCAAAAGATGGATAAAATATGTTACATGCAATGCCTAGTAATTATTACCACTTCATGGCTTTAAAAAATTCACAAGAAAATAATATATTAAAGCAAAATTCAAAAATTGCCACTTTAGGGCACATAGTAGTTTGTAAGAAAACTAAGCAGCAATAATTTGTAAGAAAAGTCACTAGATTCTGAGATATAGAACAGTAAGTATTAATAACATTTTAGACATAGGTTTAAAAAATAAAGCAATGAACAACTCCGTTCCCCACAAGAGTGAATCAACAGAACTTGTAAGTAACCATTTTCACTTTTCAAATTTATTTTCTACCTTAAATTTTTTTTTGTTTTTCTGAAAGGAAAAATAAAAAACCACACATAATCTTTACTTTTAGAAAAATATTCAGAGATGATTAGTTTTCAAAGTCCATGCAAAAGAAAGAGATAGTAACTATTCTAAATACAATTAAATAAGCATTTACCCTCAAATGTTGGGAGATATGCAGTATACTTTAAAGCTTGGCTGAACTCACATCAGATTTTAGGAACCAATTAGGAGCCAAATGCAGGAAAAGGAATGGGAAAAAGATTATGTAGTCAGATCCGGAGACTGATCAACACAATAATGAATGCAAATAGGGAAGGAAAATCATATATGGTAGACATCCAAAAATAAGACAAACCAAAATATTTCTCCTCGTTTTCTCAATGAGGAGTGAACAAAACCAATTAGGGGGACAACTTAAAACTTTTAGGGACAGAGTTAAAGTTTCTGAAAATAATTTTATCTAAACATTTTCAACCATCCCTGATGTTAGTATCTCCGCCACCTTTGGGGACTCTTTGGTTTAAATAACATGGGTTTTCAGAGCATGTGGTCTTCACTTCTACCTGAACTGTTTCAAATAAGCACTTTTTGAATAAAATATGATGCTGACACAGGAAAATTCCCAGCGAGCCATGGGTCGGCTGGCATTCACTGTTCTTGATCTCAACAACTCACTATAATAAGACGGTGATTCTTAAAATGCATTTTTACAGCATCCCACCTTGCCACTATGCAACCACATACTTAGGAAATAAAATGTCTGTACTAAACATATATGCCCCTCTCTTTACCAGTTCTGACACGTGACTAGAAGACTATAAAAATAAGTATTGACTGAGGCCACTTCAAGAAAATATGCTTCTTCCCAAGTAGTACTGCTCAAAATAAGTAATTGAGAGAATTGCCTCAGTTTGGGACATGTGGGAAGGACTCAAAAACAAATGATCCCCTGCTTTTAAAAATACTTTGGGATAAAAATTTATGTGCAGTACCAAAACATCAAACTCGCTAGACTAACTTCTCCAGGTAAGATAAAGGATGTAGGGGATATATGCACACAAATGTCATAGAAAGAGGTTTCAAAATATCTCAAATTGTATGGTGATAGCATCGGTCTAAATTTCCAATACTGTAAAAATAACTTGTTCTAAAGGTTTGTGCTAACATCAAATCTCAGGTCACTTCCTTCAAGTAACCTCACAAAGATGTGAAGCCCGGGCACCCGGCAAGGAAAACACTGCCTCTCCATAGTGTCCTTCCCTGTTATCTTCCCCAAATAGCTGCCACCATAAATTCTGAAGCAAAAAATCATAATAAGGCTAAAATCTTAAAACAGCATCTTAAGGCTATAAAATCATGCAATTTACAAGTCTAAAAAACATAAAAAACAAATTTAAAATTAAGTATACTGCCATGAAATACTAAAATATAAACAGAAAGCTCACTTTAATGCAATCATAATGCTAGCGATATAAAAAGAATTACCTGCTGTACATATCTGTCAGTAGTTTTCCACATGTAATAATATTCAATGATGCTCGTCAATGATTTCCAAGGGAGCTGAAAAAATATTCAACATGAAAATAAAAACAAGCTACCACAGTAACTGCTTTCCTTTAAAATCAATACTTAAAAATAATGAAGCAAATATCATGTGGAAGATTCATTCCATTTACGGAAACTGAAATTAATTCTGAGCAGAGGGTATCCCAAACAAGGCACATTCAGTTTGAGACTGAACACAACACATTTCAACTTCTCACTTTTATTTTGTTGAAAATCATAAACCTGCGACAGATACCATTTTCTGATTTACTCGGGAAAGTTGTTCTCAGGCTATATAGATGAAGTTGGAACACAAATTTTAGAAATGATATTTAAATAGATTTAGCTAGAGTTACTTTTACTTCCAAAGACATCAGCTACAACTGGGTTTCATTTGGTCTCTGGTATATTTTTCATCCTTAAAAAAACCATTCTATTTTGACCTATTTTAGTTGTAAATAAAATAAAAACTTACCATAAATCTCTGGGGGAGAAAAAGAACATAGCCCAGAGTGGTTCATAGTGGAAAAACAGAAAGCTTGCCCTTGTTTTTTTAAAAAAAAAGGTTATTTATTTTTACAGGAGGGAAAGGAAGGGAGAAAAAGAGGAAGGAAAACATGAATGTACAAGAGAAACACTGATGGGCTGCCTCTTGCACGCACCCCACTGGGGACCCGGCCCACACCTCAGGCATGTGCCCCGACTGGAAGTCAAATAAGCGATGACCTTTTGGTTTGCAGGATGTCGCCCAACCCACTGAGCCGCATGTCAGGGCCTTTGTTATTCTTCATTATTCAAAAATGGCTGAATGAGCTCCCAGTCATCAGATCCACAACCAAATAATATATTAACTGCGTCCCTATGTAAAGGGAGATCCGTCAGTCATCTAAGATGCAAATTGGGGCAGACGAAATTTCACACAAAATGACTGATGACGTTCGCAACTTCGGCAGCAGCAGCAGATTTTACAGACAGGTGACTGGGCACCCTGACTGCCACCCAGCTGTGCCTGATGCACCGCCAGGCTCAGAGTTACAACAGCACTTCCCAAACGTAGTAAGTTATAGAATGTCTAATCAATGGGTTTTATGCCTGAAACTGTTATAACATTGTATGCCAACTGTAACTGAAAAATAAAATGTTTAAAGTCAAAAACCAGTACTTTCCAGACTGCACTGCAGCTTGCGATCGCGTGTGAAACACCCATGCCATTCCTACCACCTCCGCATTTCACCCACCTATTTGGTCTGAAGAGGAAACAGACGGAATTTATTTTAAGTTTAACTGGGTGGCAACTCCAGCAGTAGTTACAAATGTGGTCTCCTTGCAGGACCCAAATCTGTACTGTCACTGGCATTAAAACTAAAGCAAACAGTGTTCTCCATTCCAACAAGCGATCTAGTGGAGCTGGAAGGCTCTGAGGGACAGTTTGAGGGGCTTAAAAGAACACGCCCAGACCTCAGAGGGTAAGACCTCACAGGACACTCACTGGCAGCGTCCCCTGGGGTTTTAAGCAAGCTAAAACCTCTCCATCTCCTACCAAGTCTTCTTGGGAGAAATAATGTAATTTATTTCTCCCTGACATGTAATTACCTGGAATGCTGAGAAAGAAAACCAAGGGACCAGTAACCTGAGCTTCGTCTTGAGCCCGACTTTATCTGGGGGTGAGCCACAAAGTCCTGGTCGGGCATGTTCAGCACCACCACGTCATCAAGGAGAGGAGTGGGTCTTGAACTTGTGGAGAACCTGGCCCGGCCCGGTGTGCCTGCTCCTAATGCAGTACCATTTTTCCCTCAACCCTCAGCTGTGGCTCCGTGGGAGTTCCCATGACACGTCAGTTTAGCAGGGAAAACAATACGACCATGCAGACGGCTCTGCATAATATACTGGTACCGACTGGAGCTACATGGCTCCTGCATTTCAGCCCCAAGCAGGAGCGGCTCTGAAGCACAGTGAAGGAGGGAGACCATTCTGGAACAGGGAGTAAACACCTGGCTTTCTACACTGAAGGAGATGGCCAGAAATACTAATGTGGGCAGGGGTTATTTACTTGTCACAATGATAAGGGACTAGAAAGGAATCAGGTTAGAATGCCGGTGACCATGAGGCTTAGAAAAGAGGTCTGTGGGACAGACAACCAGGATGGGCCTGAGTGTGAGGATATTTGTGTCCTCATGCTCACTCCCAGGCTCCCTCTGCAAAGAAGATTCTCATTAATATCAGGTGGGTAAATTATGTCCTCTATGGCGATCAGTTCACCTCTCCTCCTAACTATACCAATGATGACTCAAAGGATACATAGACAAAGTGGACACAGAGGCAAGGAGACAGATCACACACAGGTGCCACCACATGGATGTCCTTTCACCAAATCTGATCTGATCACTCCAGGTGTCCAAACTGCAAGGAACAGAGTGCACTGAGCCTCCAACATGGCACCCTTCCTGGTAACGTGTCAGGTACTTCAAACTCTCAGCATCCTGGAACAGTAGCAATCTATCCTCATCGAACAGATTATCATTCGAAACATGATTTGCCTTTTCTGCCTGTAATACATTGGCTAGCAATACCACCCACGGAGTATGAAAGACTTATCCCCACAAAACACTGCTTCTAACCAGGGCTCAGAACCCTTAAGAATGAAGGTTTGGATAACCCCACCAGATTGAGATTAATAACACTGGTTATTAAAGGTGCTGAGGGGAGAAGGACAGTGGGGGAATTCAATTTGGAATCCCAGTGAAGGCCTCAGGATGAACTTCAGAAACAGAAAAGAAGACTAAAGAGGCCACACGTATTTCTGCCCTTGCTTGGTATAATTATTTTCTGTCTGCACCCCAATTCCCTTTCTATTTCTTTGTAAGGTCTGTTGGTAGTGGTTTGAGCATTGTAATTTATTTTAGAAGCTACAAGCTATAAAGTCTGGGTTATAACTAAAACCAGAGGAAGAATAAATCAACCAGAGTGAAAGTAAATTTGGGCCTCCCCATTTGAAGAAATGGCACCACATTTTCTAATGATTCAGGAATAATTACTGTTGTTTACAAAGAAGGAAGCGAAGCAAGGATGGATGTTCGGTAGCCAAAGAAGTGGGTGTGGCAGCTACTATACATCCACTTCCAAACCACTGGCTTATCTTCCTTGAAGCTCTAAACTGTATTTTCCCCAGATATCCTTGAATAAGGGTGCAGACATATGAGCTTGGTTAGCCACACTGACAAACCTGAATGACATTTAGATATGGAAGTGAGCAACATCAAAATGAGGCTGTGTGCAGGGAGACCAGACAGTTTGGCCAGAACGATGGTTGAGATATCTTCTCGTAGACCATCTCTGACCTTTCAGTGATTGAAGCTTGAAATCATGGATGTGAAGCTGCAGAGGACACAGGTATTTCCACTGTTCCTCAAAGAATAGCATCCAAGCCTGGTTCTCTAGTCTTCCCAGAGATTCTATGAGAGTCTAATATCCTCCATTCCTTTCTGCTTATATTAGATACGGTGAATTCTATACTTAGCAACTAAGAACTCTGACCAATATAACCCATACATTTATCCTTTATTCTACTCGGTGAAGTTGAGTTTCTCTCACCCATATTCAAAAACACTCTAATACAAACATCAGTAAGGAGTGAAGTGTCTGAAGAACAGACCCCAGAGATGTGGCATTTAATGACAGACTCGCAGTGGAGCAGACATAAAGCACGACTGGCAGAACAGGCAGCAGTTTCTGTAGCAGGGTTGCTGCTAGAACACTGTCAGTGTGGCGTCAGATACTGCTCTCGGCTTCACAAGTCCTGGTTGTGAAGCATCTAAAATTGGATCCCTTGAAGCTCCTGGAGGTCCTGTTAGCCTTCTAACACCTTATACCTTTCCTTCTCCTTAAACTAGCTCACTCAAATGGATCCTGTCATCTCCAATTACGGTTTCCAACTTCCTCTAGTTTACATCCCTCTAATGTAAAAATTAGAAATCCAAACATGATATTTCCAGAACTTCTGGTCAAGATGGTGGCATATGTAAATAGGGCTCACCTCCTCACACAACCACATCAAAATTACAACTAAAATATAGAACACCCATCACTCAGAACTGTCAGAAATTGAGTTGAATGGAATTCTGACAAGTACAGAATTAAAGAAACCACAACCATCCAGACTGGTAGGAGGGTTGGAGACATGGAATGGGTTGGTCCCACAACCATGTGTGGTGGATAAAAATTTGTGAGGGATATCTCAGGAGCAATGAGTCCCAGCCCCAGCCCAGGTCCCCTAAGCCTAGGGTTCCAGTGCCAGGAAGGTAAGTCCCCATAACTTCTGGATGCTAATACCAGCAGGGATTGAGTCGAAACTGCTGGAGTCCTAAGTAGTTATCCTTAAGGAACCCACACATAACCCTGGCTGGTGCAGCTTGGTGGACTGAGTGCCAGCCTGTGAACTAAAGGGTCGCCAGTTCAATTTTCAGCCAAGGCACATGCCTGGGTTGCAGGCCAGGTCCCTAGTAGGAGGTGCATGAAAGACAACCACACCTTGATGCTCCTCTTGCTCTCTTTCTCCCCTTCCACACTCTATAGATAGATAGATAGATAGATAGATAGATAGATAATCTTGGGGGGGGAGAAAGCTTAATTATATTAATTAAAGATAAAGTAGACCAACACAAGTAATACTACCATGAGTAAAGAAGCATGATTTAAAGATAAAAGGGTCAATTCACCACAAGAACAATCCTAAATGTGTATATACCTAGTAACAGAGTTTCGATATAATTAAAGCAAAAACCAAATTACAATTGATATGAGTAATAGAAAAATCCACAATTATAGCTAGAGACTTTTAATACTGCTCTCTTAATAAGTACTAGAACAAATGGACAGAAAATCAGTAAGGCTTCCAAAGGCTTGAACAACACTATCAATAAACTTGACCTAAGTAGCATTTATAGAACATTCCATCTGAAAGCAAAATATCTACTCTTTCCAAGAGCACATAGAACATTCACCATAACAGACTCAAT